GGGGCAGCCCTGGCACCTCTCTGCGTCCGGGGACCCCACGGCCGGGATGGGGCTGCGCCCCGGGAGCCCCGCGGTCCCCCAAAGGAGCGGGACAAGGGCCTCAGCACTGCTCGCTTCTGTGCGGTGCCCCCGGACAAACACAGCCCACCCTCAGTGCCACTGCCCCCCTGTGGGGATGAGGGTCTCCGGCCCCCTGCGTGAGGGCTCAGCCCGGCTCCTCGCGCCATCCCGGGGGCCCAGCGCCCGACGCGCAGCAGAGCACCCTCCGGCACCCAGCACCAGGCCGGGCAGGCGGCCGGCAGCGTACGTGGCCCCCGGGGGACAGCCCCGTCCTTCAGGTCACCCAGGCCCTGGGCAGGGGGGAACCCCCCATCCAGACTGCCCCGTCCCGGGCCTGGAGCAACGTCCTGAGGGACGAGAGCCGTCTGTGGTCCCTCCACCCCCAGAGCGGTGCACGGGGCCCAGCTGCCGGCTGGGAAGGATTAGTTTAAAGTGCTTTTTTCTTTTTGTTTTTGCATGGGGTGCTAAAGCCAAACCTCACTCTGCCAGAGAACATTTCCCCTTCATCCCCAGGGCCAGGACCAGCGTGTCTCAAACCCCCAGGCAGGTTTCTGAGGAGCCTTCCCCGGGTCGCCGCAGGCGGCACCAGGTCTGCTGCGCCCTGGTCAAACCTTGGCACAGCAACATCCCACAAGTTCTGCACAGCAAAAGGCTCTCCCCTCCGAGGGGACCCGCTCTGCTGAAGTGCTCAATGCCTCCCATAGAGCCCGTGCCGCTCCAAGGGGACTGTCCTGACAGTGGCGGGTGGAGGAACCAGCTTTGGTCCGTGGTCAGGAAGCGCCTGAGCAGTGGCGGAGCCCCGTCTCCTGCCCTGGGTGCAGCCCCAGCCGGTCAGTGGGAGCCCCCGGAGCCGCCTGCAGAAGCATCCCTGTGCCAGCCCCAGACGGGCCAGGCAGCAGAGCAGAGGGGGACAGGCACCAGCTGCCCCCCAGCCACGAGAGAACACCGCAGGCTGGAAGGGCTCACGGGTTCCTGCTGCCTCTGGACTCTTGTGCTTGCAGCACCATCCCCAGAACATTGTCTCTAACCAGCTCAGTGGCGTCCCTACCCAAAGTGACTTTTTGCATAGTGCTGCTGTCCCCATCCCCAAGCAGCGTGCCACGCCAGCCGCGGCCCGGCGGTCCCTGTGCCCAGCCAGCTGGGGCAGGGGGGGACAGAGCCTC